CCTGTGGGTCACACAGGATGCCCCCCCCCCCCCGCACAACAACTTACCAAAACTCTTTATGTGGGATGGGGCCATGGGCAGGCGGGGACCAATGTTTGGGAGTGAGACAGGCAGATGAGCCCAGGATTGCAGAGCTGGGTCATGGGGCCGTACCAGTGCGGGGCCAGGGCAGAGCTGCAATCCACTGCCTGCACACCCCTGCGATGGGTGCTGGTTCTGTGGGCAGGGGCATGCAAGGAGCAGATTGGGGCTCTGCCCCAGCCCCGTCCCCATGCTGTTACTGCCCCAAGATCCCACATGCAGTCCTGGACACAGCTCCCCACCGAGGGATGGACCCATCCTGGTAGCCTGGCTGCACAGCCCCCCACTGGTCTCCACAGAGACCCTGGGATGGAGGGACAGTGACAATGCAGGGCCGGGTCCAGCCCCGAGGCAGAGCTGCGATCCACCACCTGCACGGCCCAGCCACAGAACTGGGGCTCTGTCCCAGTTCCGTGCTATCGCCGCCCTGCAATCCCAGGCTCTCCATGGAGACTGGCCAGGATGCACAGCCAGGCGGGCAGGACTGGTCCAGGGCCAGGTAGGGAGCTGTGTCCAGGACTGGGGTCTTGGGGCAGTGATAGAGCAGGAGTGGGGCAGAGCTGTGATCTGCTCCCTGCACCCCACTGCTTGCCCATCACAGGGACATGTGGGCAGATTGGGGCTTTGCCCCAGGCCCTGGCCCCGCGCTGCCACCGTCCTAAGATCCCAGGGTCTCCCCAGCCCCTCCTGCCTGTCTCACTCCGCACCAAATTACAGCCCCATCCCAGCAACCCAGGAGAATGCCCTGCCCAGCAGGTTATGCCACAGCCCAAGCTACCCCCTACAACTGTGCCAGGTGGGACTGCGGGATGTGCTGCAGGCTGGACAAAACCCCTCAGTAGGCCTGAGCAGTCCACAGGCTGTACTTTGCCCACTCCTGCTATAAACAGAAAATAAAACTATTATACTGCAAAGGTGCATTTGATTATTACCCAAGTATTCCATTTCTACAGCCCTCCTGCTTCCCATGAATGCAAGGTCTTTTATATTGTATTGACCCACTAATGAAATGCAACTGTCATAAAGTTTTAGCACCACGAAGCACCACACAACCATTTAGGATAAGAACTGAAAGAACACAATATAACAAACTGTAATGGGAATCTGAGTAAACTGGGATATGTAATTCAAACTAGATTTAAGCTAACTATAGCCAGAGGTTGTGCTATGTGAGTGTATTTGTGGTTTCTTGGTGCGTATGCTTACAAGTAGTTGAGCAGAAACTTGTAATTTCAAAATGAGACTCACATCCTACAATAATAGCATCCTGAATTTTGAATTGGCCTTACTTAGATGCAAAGACATACACGTGTGCTTTATTTACATGAGTCGTTCCACGGTAATAAAAAATGGATGCGAGTCAATGGAACTACTTGCATGCATAAATCTTTCTAGGACTAACAGGTAAATGTAAACAAACGTGTTCAATGGCCGTGGTAAAGAAGTACCCTAAATCAGTCCTGTATACCCATGAAAAGCAGAACTGGTGAGGTCTGACTGCAGTTTTATGCTCAGGTATCAACACACGTAGCCTGGGACAACTCCTCGTGTCCCAAAGGGAGTAGCTCCTCGGGGATGTCCACTTGCCACACGTCTTTGCCTCCTCGAGCAGGAATTGGTTCCAACAGCCACCTTGGATTTGAAATCACAGTCAAGTATTTCTGTTGCAGGTTAATCAGTACAGCTTTCTTTTCCATCTCCAAAGTCTCTTCAGGAGATGAGTTTTCAGGATACTTCATTGTCTCTCCAATGTCAACTAGCCCTGCATTATAAAAGCAAAGATATGGTTGGTTTTCCTTCCAAAACCAAAGTTTTCCAACATAAATGCTCAACCAAATGAGCTTTAGTTAAAGCACTCTGCTGCCATGTTGAAACACAGGACACTGAATACACAAGATGTTCCAGGCATTTTAATTAGAGCGACTCCTGAGAACCACTTTAATTAAAATGCCCCTCCCCCCTCACCCCAGAGCACATGTAAAAAATATCCTGTATTATTAAAACATCAACAAAAAGTAAAATGGTTACTAGATAGAAGACATTTTCATTTTTTTCAGAGGCTAAAAAGTATATTTAAAAAAGCCAAATAAGGTTTCATCTTCATCTCTTTTCACAGTTTAGCATCTGACTTATGCTGGGGTTTACAAATCCACGTATCACCAAGTGCCTAAAAAATGTAGGCCCTTTTTGCTATATGTGATAACAATCACTTGTTTTTCAGGAAATAACTTCAAATATTCTAAAGATAACGGATGTGACAAACGAATTGATTTAGACAAGAAGGTATTGCAGAATAGAAGTTAAATTAAAACTCTATGCATTTGGAATGTATCTACATGGAAAAAAATTAGCACTCCCCTTTCTGTGTTACATTTGTGGCACCTGCAATACATATGTGGATAAATCTCTGAATCAGCTTCTTATCCCAGTGATTTTAGTGGGGGGTCTGCCATGTGCAACACATTACAGAACAGAGGAACAATGCTCAACTCTGCAAAACATTACAGATGTGCAAAGAACCACTCACACAAACAACAGTCTTAAAATAAAAGGGACATATATAAAATCTTAATAGAATGAGGACCAACCTTTCTACTTGAGTTAGCTTTAAAATCAGTTCCAGTTTGGAAGAGTAAGCTGAATATTATTCTGTTTCTAGCAACATCGTATTTGGCATGTAACTTTTAGTTGTTTAACTGATTTGACTGGTAGTAATGCAGAAAGCTGACAAATGGATCTGAATATTGATAATACTAGCAGGTTGCACAGGCAGCTCAGTTTTCTAGCAGTTGGAAAAACTGTTCTGACTTGAGTATATACGAGTAGAAAGAAACACAAGATTCTAAACTTCTATCTTTACTTAGTTTTCTATGTTAAATGCTTTTGTAAGCTCTGCAGTGCTTCACCAAAAACGATAAAGCTGTGAAATAACTGTCTAGAGACACGTTAAAAATGTATGCTTGAGAAAGTGTTTACAAATTGAAAACCTGCTTGAGGCTCCATAGAAAAAAATGAACTCAAGACTGCTCACCTGCAATAACTCCTCTGCCAAATTTCTCCCCTTTATCTAACAACTCTGCAACTTGTGTAGGTGTCATATCAAGTCTATTCAAAAGGACCTCTTTCCATGTTTCATCCTCCCAGTCTTTAAAAGCTATGTGAATAGCAACGGTGCGGTTCTTGTAGTCTGCCAGCAATGGACGCCAACGAGTCTCTATTGTTTTGACTTTATTCAAAACCAACCCAGCATAGGGTTGCCGGAAAGAAAGACAGCCAAATCTCATCTTTCTTCAGTGCTGCACCTTTCACCTTGCATAGCTGTCACAACCTGATTAGTTAGGAAAAGAAAAATAATTAACACAACATCCTGATGTTGGGGCTTGCCAAATCTACTTGTCAGTGGACACAGCAAACTGCCTGCACAAGTGCCTTGAAAATGTTACAAAACGGTCCAATTATTCAAACACCTGTATCTCTGAAATTCCTGATTTTCTGGATGGAAGCAGTAAATTTTTAAGCAATACTCAATTTGGCTTGAAACCCTGTGACCCAGGTTATGACCCAGAAGCTCTAAAGAAAATCAGGGCCTTGTTGTAAAAGCTCCTATATTGAATGAGGGGACATCCTTAACCCAAGAGATGGACAATCTCAAAATTTACTGTGGAACTGATGAATGTGAGAAGCTAGATCTCTGGGGGGTGATTTTTTTTTGGACCAACTGTATAGCTGGGATAAAGCCAGAGAAACTTTTGAAGACAAAGCTTTCTTCTTCAGGTCATTCTGAGTGCAAAGCATTCTTCTTCAGGAAGAGAGGAATTACACAAATGAAAGTCTGCAGCTGAGCTAAGCACTGAACCCTAAACGCCTAAAACCTAGGTGAATGTTTTAAGCCTAAATTCATCTCTAAATCTGATGTTACGCTAAGGCAAGTCTAGTCAACAACCTTTGGCTGGCACAGATGCTTCAGTGTCTGATGAAGTTGAGTCGAGCTCATGAAAGCTTGTAATACATATATACGTACATATGCAGAGAGACAGAGCGAGCATGCGTGCAAGAGTATAAGCAAGGCTCCCACTGCGTGTGTATACATACTATATACACTATAGACTATACAGACTAGATATGATTTAGCCAGACA